AAAAAATCCCATGAGTATCTAAAAGTTATTTTTTGTTATCTTGTTTAGGGTGTTATTAGTAGTATATATATTTTTTTGAGTTGTATAAAAAAAATTAGGAGTATATTTTAATGAAGTCTTATCTTTAATTAAACTAGACATGGAAATCTCTTTTACTTCATGTAGTCTGATTAGGGTCTATTTAGTATAGTAGTTTGAGGATAATAGTTAAATTTAGTATGAAAAATTATAGAAAATTAATTAAAAATATCATAATTAATAAAGTTTAACATGTGACCTAAGGATATAAGTTAGAGAATCACATAGATATCTAAAAGTTATTTTTTGTTATCTTGTTTAGGGTGTTATTACTTATTAGTAGTATATACTTTTTTCAGTTTTATAAAAAAAAATTAGGAGTATATTTTATGAAGTCTTATCTTGAATTAAACTAGACATTTAAATCTCTTTTACTTCATGCAGTTTGATTAGGGGCTATTTAGTATAGTAGTTTGAGGATAATAGTTAGCAATTTCATTTAAATTGTTACATAAAAGTGTTTGGTAATTTTTTTCCTCCAAAAACCACTGCGTACTTGGTGTTTGGCAAGAGTTTTTATCTAGCGGTGTAATGGCAGTAGTTAATGGTTAGAGTTCAACCCACTAACAAATTGAAAAAGCTCTCAAAAATAATTTTTGGTCCCAAACCGCTAACAAATTGAAAATTTGAAGTTATAAAGAAAAATTTATCTATAAAATAATTAAATATAAAATAAAAATATAAGCACACAACCTTCGTAATGTTCTTCTTTTCATGGTCACAAAACCTAAAGTTATAACAAGGTATGTTTTCTTCTTCTACCCTGTGCTAGATCTTTATTAAAAAATAACAAAAAAATGTTTCATTTATAAATGTATAATAATAATAATAATAATAATATTAATAAACAATAAAATAATTCTTTTATGGTTAAGAACAAACAAAAAAACATAATTAACTATTTTTTAAATTTGTTTTTATTTATCATTTGAGATCGAACAATAACTACTAACTATTATATAACTAAACAGTTATTATAAACAATATCCGTTATCTATTATTTATTACTCATTTTCTGTTATATGTTATCTGCTAGCCACTATTACCTACAATCCGTTAACCGCTACACAAAATAATCTCTTAGTTGTCACACTTTATTCATTTAAGATTATCAAAAAAATTTATTTAATACAATAATTAATACTTCTCTTTCTATTTTTACCCTTAATTACAATTAAACTAGAAAATTCCTAACATTATCTCTATTTTATCCCAGAAAAGGATAAAATTAGAATGATAATAGTAGCATTTAATTTCTTTTTAAAATTTAAAGTGAGACAATTAATTTAAACCATTATATTTTGTATGTGAGACAACTAAATCAGATTAAATTAAATAATTGTTTTTGTGCTTCATCTTTACATAATTTGATCATATATTTTTATATATTAAATCAATGACAATTGAAAAGTAAAATTAATCTAAGTAAACTTTCTCAACAAAAATTACATATAAAATGAATTTTTTTTTATTGTTATTCAATTATTATATATAAAAATATTATATAAGCGTGGCATCATCCTCACATGGAGGGCATAACCGTTAGAAGGTTGCTAGCCGGAGTGATGAACAAGGGTGTGATATAGCTCCAGGGAGGATAATGTGAGGAAGGCTGGGGAGGACGGTGAAAGACTGACACCTGCTCTTTAGCTTGTGGAGGTGCGTGCATGACAAGCTGATTTACAGAAGAACGAGACAGTGAGGAGCATGACTATGGGTATGATTGAGATTACTATATGGTGTTATAATTGTAATTATAGTTGTGTGTTTATTAAATTATATTGTATTGTAATTGTGATTAAAAGTTATTATGATATTTAGTTATTTATTACTTAAAAATATTATGGATGAAACATGATAAATTTTATTAATTATTAATTAAAATTTAAAATATATTGTATGATGTATAATTACTAAAATAGATAACATTTCTTATTTCTTAATAATTTAGGTTTTTTAGGTTTCTTAGGTTTCTTATGATGGGTATTTTTTTGGATTCCGGGGAGAGCAACTCATAAAGAGAGAATAAATTTCTAATTTTTTATGAAATCTTTAAATAAATGAGAGGTTAAATTCAAATAAAATATTATAAATTATGATATAATTAAATTAAATGAGATTGGATTTTAATAGATAATTTTATAATTACATTAAATATTATGTGTTATACATGAAAGTCATAGTCAAAAAATTTTAAAATGAAATTTCTAGTTTTGTATATAAAATTACTATAAATTGATTATGGTTTTCCGTAGTTGTTGAAAAAAATAATTTGAAAAAATATTACTAAACACACATGTATCTAAAAATGCTGTATATCTATCAAAAAAAGCTTTTAACTGCAATTCCAAACACACCTTATAGCTTGGAGCCAAATGGAACTAAGGGGAAAGAGATTGCATTGCCTAAAGAACCAACATCAACTCAACCAACCTTGGATTCTATTTCAGGAGAGGTTTCTCTACGACAATTAGCAAAAATGACAAAGAAGAGTGGCATGGTTTCAAGTAAGACTTGGAGGCGGCCTTTTCAAGGGTTGCTGGTGTCTCTGGGGAAGAAGGAGTTGAAAGGGATAAGAAAAACAGTCCCAAACGAGCTGGTTCATAACAGGGCATTGAAGGTATTGCTTGACAACTCAAGGATTACTCTTGCTAAGGCATCCCCCTGTAGGTTAAATGTAAAAGGTATTCATTGTTGAGGCATTGTAGTAACGGCAGATGCTAAATCGTTATGCCTTTTGTTCTCTCATATTAAAAATAGGTGATAAGATAAGTGAGGTTCGTAGAGGTGACAATAAAACTTTGGTATAATGCCTATGGTATCTGTGCAGGGACGGAGCCAGAAATCGAAGTCAGGAGGGGCGAGAGGAAAGGTTAAATTTTTTTTATAAGTTATTTATTAGTTTATTTTAATATAATTTAAACTAATTTTTATAAAAGTACTTATTTTATGCATGTATTATTTATTTATGCATGTAAAACTTTAAATTAATTAGATATATTTAGTTTTCTTAAAAAGATTATATATATTTAGTTATTTTTGAAAGATATAAATTTTAAAATCTCCAAATAAATAATATACAAATATAGTTTATTTTTTTAAATGGTTTCCTATATCAAAACAACTTTAAATTTGACATGTCTGATTTATATAAATAAAATAAATTCAACTATTATTTTCATAGTATATAAATTATACAAAAAAATTATTTATAACTAATGTAAAAACTTATATAAGTTATATTAATGTAATTAATTAAATGTTGACTTTTTTAATAATTTTTTATTACCTAAACCAAATTATCATATCTTAAAAACTAATCACAAAGAGAGAAATAATTCTTTTACCTAAATCTTAAATATTTCTTTTATATTTGAAATGGTCCCAATAATTCAAAACCTCAAAAAAAATTTTTTTGTAAAAATTAAAAATTAGTGTACCATATTTGAAAATTTTCAGAAGCTTAGGGGGGGCAGCTGCCGCCCCTTGTCCTACATTGGCTCCCTCCCTGTATCTGTGACCCTACTGATGCCCTTATAACTTTTACTAAAATATTTTAAGACTCTCTACACTTAATTATTCATATTTATCATAAATAGTAACTTTTTGTATTAATATTATAGGTACCTTTTTAGTGTATTATGTGTTTGGTTTTAACCTATACAGCATTGCATAAATCAAACGTAAGCTTTTTCATCATAAGAAAGCTATGCAATTCTCTAAAAATAAAAATGATTATAATTATGTGCGAATCACAATCTAACTTTACCCTTAACATGAAATGCAAGGATAAGGGGCCACATTAATCTTATCAATTTTTGCCTATATAAATATAAACTAAAACCCAATATTTTGATTTTGTCGAATTGGAGGCCGTTTATGTGGGGATTAAGGATTTCAAACGTGAATAATTGCTTTGTATATATAATTAAAATACTTCAATGGATCGAGAAGGGTGAAAGGTCAGCATCTGCTGCGGGATATGTGTTAATCTAGCAGCCTTTCCTTGCTTTGGTTCAAGAATGACTGCAAATCTGCTTCACTTTTCCAAAAGCAAGGTAAGGTTAGGCACCTTACTTTAAAAAAAAAAAAAAGGAAAAAAAAAAAAAAATCCAATCTCACTTTCAGAGCACTTGTTTTGAATAACCCACAACTTGGTGGCAAAAAGGAAAAAAAAAAGAAAAAAAGAA